CATAAATCATCGGAAACACAGTTGTGACATGTTGTCTAATAATACATGTAATTTTCCATCCTACTTGAATGTCAAATTAAGTGGGAAGGGCCGAAAGTACTTTTTTATGGCCACAGGGCGCTGTCAAGGTCATGCACGTGGAATTGAATTTTCGGAAACGATGCTCACAATTATAATTGTTATCGATGCATACCTGGACTATGTTCCTCTTTCTGCATTTCTCACACGAGTCAGATCCCATCTTTAGTCGTTCTGTAAAGCCAAAAGTCGATGACAGCACAGTTGATCTTCGAACAGCGCATGCCTCTTTCTACGTGGATGTTTTACAAAAAGTTGGTTGGAATATTTTTGAAGCACTTGTAACAATTTGAAAAATCACTTCCTAAATTAAATGTAATCTCCATTCCAAAAAAGTAATTCCCTATACATATATCCGTCAATGCCGGAGCATATTTCATGACTGGAATGCCTCCTACAAGACATTACCTGAAGTGTAAGTATTGTGTTTCTACGATAATAAGCCCTGCCTCAAAGCTAAGCCCTACTTAAAACCTTCTGCCAGATGGACGCCAGAACTGTCGAATGACCAATCGGAATGCAATCACACAGTGATTGCGCACATGGACGCACGATGATGTGGCACTTGCGCACATGGCAGTTCTGCACATATGAAAACATGATATTTTTTAGCAGATGTAACCAGTTTGGGCAACAAGTGATACTTTCCGCACAGCCTGTCTAAAACAATCAATCAGTCTTATGATTTATTGACGGGATTTTTCCTAAGTAGTGTCAATTCTTGCTGTAAACGTTGTCCTAATTGTTTCTTATGTATTATTAATTTTCTTCGACTTATTTTTTAGACCATTTACGTAAAATGAATTTCACCCTTATTGGAACATCTAAAGGCAAACCATCATAATCTTTGACCAATATCGGTGTACATGCAGTATGTTTTAGATATATAATTATGCATAATTGAAAACTTTGAGTATATTTTTATATTTCTGTGCGAAGAAACATGTACAGGATTTGAATATAATTATTATCTTTAACGTAAGATTTCCTATAACTATAATTTTCTTGCTTACGTGTACGAAGTGAGTTTACGATGAGAAACTATTATGCCTCTCGTCAAAAAATTGTAGAAATTATCTTTATTTTTAAAATATAATCTATTAGGAGTTACAAAAAATAAAAAATATAAGTTTTTTTTAAATATATATATATTATTTTTAATGTAAGTCATTGTAATTGTACAATACTTAGTGATTTGTTTAATAAATACTGAGCATAGTACATATAACAATATCATGTGGATGACAAATAAGGTATTTTAGTATTTCAGATATTTGGAATATAAAGTAAAAGTAGCCAAAAAAAGTTATCAAGAATATCGGAATAAGTATACAAAATTTCATGCTCGAAACCACTTATAAAGATATTGAGCTTTAAAATGTGTTGTATTTTGGGGATATTCTGACTTTTTAAATGTACCTGAAGGTATTTATTATTCTTAATTACCTGATTCCTTAAGGTATTTATTATTCTTTATGCGTTAGCACATACATAACATAAAAATTTAGCTAAAAATCTATATTTGTGCAGTCTAGTAGCTTAACATTTTGTATTAATAACCCAAGTCGCTGTTCCAAGTTATCGAATGATAAGCAGGAAAATGTGTTTTTGTGTGGAACTGATAAACTATACAAACTATTTATTACTCATCCAGCAAAGAATGTTTCTTGTGCGCAAGTGCTACTAACCATGCGCATTTGATAATGAACAGATGTGGCTGTAACTAGTTGGAAAGAAATCTTCCTAAGTTAATATGTTTTGTGTTGTAACGGAAGTATTTACTTGCCTTACTAAAGTGTCATACGAGAATATTATTTTTCGTATGACACGTTTTCTAAATTTAACGTTTATAGTTTTCTGTCGCTTTGCCTTGTCTATCTATCATTCTTCCTTTTTTTTTTTTTTTTTTTTCTACACACCTATTTTACAATTGTTCAGATAATATTTAATTTAATAATAAATAAAAGGGGAATAATAATTTGACCCTGAAGTAAAATGAGTGCAATAAGTGAGCTTTTCCGTCGAGTACAAGAAAAAAATCATGGAAGGTTCCTGAGATAAGAATCTTGCAGCTTTCTGCCAGGGTTGACCCTAGACATCTTGCTGCCAATTGCAAGAGCTATAGCTAGCAAATTCTGTCACCCATTGCCTGCGTAAAAGTAAAATGTTTCGGCTCCTATATTCCACCGCTTTATGCGGCCGTATGCGTTCCACCAGCTCTAGCTTCTGCAAAGAGAAGACGTTGGATCACTTGAATGGTCCGAAAATGACGATCATAACACGATACCTTCAGTCAACCTGTGGATGAGGGAAATGCTAAAAGAAGTGCAAGTGTAGATCAGATCAGCAACCATTAATTATTTCCTGAATCGGGAGAAATCATCTGTGATTGGATTGCTGACAAAAAAGCAAAAGTTTCAGTTGTTTGCAAAGCATAACTCTACACTTGCAATGGCACCGCAGTAAGCTATATATCCCCAGAATTCAAACCATCAAAACAATAGATGGATGCTTTTCTTCAGCGATGTGAATGGTCTGTAAGAAGATCGACAACACTATTCAAACTGCAAGATACTGAAGTTATTTTAAATGCTCACCTGCACATTTAATGTAGTGTTTTGTTGATGGCATTGACTTTTCTAAATACAAACTCTCTAGTATGATTGCTATGTATGAAACTGCGGTGGTCAAGGATCTCAAACTACAAAGGATTATAGAGTGCTTCGTCAAACTGCATTGCCTCCGATTACGAAAGTGCACGTTACCTGCATTTTGGCAATTAATCTCTGTGGAAAGAAAGCCCCGCCTCTATTCATCACAAAGGGAAAGGAAGCTAAGATTGAACGCATTTCAGGCAAATATGTCCTTGTAATTTAAAAAGAATGGTACGCATAAGCAACTACAAAGAAGTGGATCCATTTAATTCTGTTATTTATTTTACGAAGTCGTTAGTGAAGTCTAATCTGCGATTCAGCCTGCATTGTACTAAAGGCATGAAGATCTTCTATGCAGAAAGAAGAATAGATCAAATAATGAGTTCCGGAAGAATGACTGCCTATCACCAGACTCCTGATATTACGTTAAACAAGCTATTAAGAAACATAAAAATCAATAACGCACATAGAAATCGATGTAAAAGGGAGAAAAATCAACATGGAAAAAACTTTATGAAGCATCGCTTGCGAAAGATCGTAATTTAAGTGAAAAATGTGTATAATAAAATCACTGATAACTGTGTTGTCAATACCCGCAAGTAGGCTTCGTCAAGTGCTCGTTCTCAACATCAGCGGCAAATTCATGTGTTTGTTTGAGTATGTATGCAAGACAAAAATGTACGTAAAATCAAAATTCTAACTTAAATTTGCCGTAACGCTTTAATTCTCTATATTAATTTGGATATTTTGCTTCTCCATCCTTTTTTATAATGCTGAATGAAGCAGTTAATACGCAATGAATGTCAAAAATCGTAATTAAAAATCCAGATCCTTTTTAAACCAGGCCTCCAAGTTGGATGAGGCACTTGCTTTTCCTCTTCGACTCTGTCAACTTGCAGCTCTGGTTGCACCATCATGACTTTCAAATATTTATGTTATGACTTATCTTACTTGTCTGACCTAATCGACAAGTCCACGAATTTCATCCTGGCAAGGAGCTGAAGACAGCATTTATCGTTGGTATGAGCCTTAAGTACAATATAAGTGACAGTACCACCTAGCTCCGTCTCAATTTTGATGGAGATCACTTCGGGAACGGATCGGAGGATTTACCACCCCTCTGTCTCTACCACCAAACCATTTGAAAGGACGTTCGGCTCGCCGTGTATTTTAAGCGTCCCCATGCCGCACATAAGCTTTTCCATTCTCAAACCAACAACAGAATTTTTGCAAGAAACTGAGTTTTTTGTCATCAGGTGCAGTAAATACTTTGCTGTCATCGCATTTTACATCAAGACCTTTGTTGAGATGACTCACATTCATATTATTCCACCATTTTCTGATAAGCAGCCGAAATTTTGTTATATCCTGCCAATTATTAATACAATATGTTTCTACCTCAATTAACTGAAACGGAGTATCATTACTCTCATGCACGATATTTACAGCAAACTTCCACATTTTGTTTTTTTAAACTTAATGGATATAAACTTTTGAATGACAGCTTATGGCTCATTTTCACAACAGAGATCACCTCCTTATAATATTGTTGCGAGAGAACTTGGTAAAAGGTTGAATGCACATAGAACCGACGATAGTTTCATAACATTTATTTTACCTAAATGAACACTTTACATTTCTTGAATTTTCCACGAAAGCACTCGTACAATTCTTCTCATTATCACAGAGCACAATCAGTAGTTACACTCCAAACTACTGAGAACGTTAAACACACAACGCAATGCAAGGCGGATATGGTTACAGTTACATATAGGAATCAATTACATTTATTCAGTCACAATACCAATATCAGTTATACAGGAACCGAACTAAAATGTCGCCATGTTTGACGACAAAAATTAGTCGCCAGCTTGGCGATATCTTGCCAATTTAGCGAGATTGGCATTTACCTCAATGTTTAAAGACTTGGCCTTTAATCTTATTTTTCCGGCAGAGCTTCGTTCCTTTCAAGCATTTCATGTTAGATTTAAAAAAAAAAAAAAAAAAACCTCAAACGCGTCTAGTGAAACAACAGTTGTCGCAAAAACTGATCACCGACTACATGGTAGCTGAAAAAAAGTCAACTCTAAACGACTCTATTTTTTTAAAGCTACATGTGAAGTTTTGTGCGTTTTTTTTTTATGTGGTCCCTATCCCACTGCTCAAAAAACAGGTTTGAGTGTACTATAATTTCACTAAAATTGTTTACATATATAAAAAATTCATAACAATATGTATTTCTTAGAGAAGATTATTTAATCCTTATATATATTCATAGATATCGAGATTAGGACAAGAAAATACTGATACCTCTGGAAATTCTGATACCTCTGGAATACGCGCCCAGCGTACAGACCACTACATCACGAAGGTACGTTAAGAAGGCGGGAAAAATACCTTATAATTTAATTATTTTTTAAAAACTCTAGAAATTATATCTGTTTGTATATTTACTATATTGCGAAATAATTAAGAAATTTATATAATTAAAAATATAATTCAGTGAAATATAATAAAATATTTAACCAACAAATTGTACAATTTTAAAGCAATTACTGCCTTTCTGAATAATTTAAATATTTACTTATTTAATTTTTTAATAATACTTCTGTCTGACGCAATTTAAAACGCATTTAAATTATAGGTATCCAATTAATAATTTTTCTAAATGTTTATGCATTATTTTATTTATCTAAAGATGTTTTAACGCTGTATATTGAGTACTAAATGCAGACAAGCAGCTTTTTAAGAACTTCGTTTAATTTTATTTCAGCATTGTTGGCATTCTTTTGACTAAGCAAATTTCCGCAAAAGGTACATGCACTTCTTTTATGATTTTCACTGAAAAACATTTTTTGGTCCGTTAATAAAACTATATTACTAGAGCTTGTCTTTAATTTCCGAAATGTTTGGATGTGAATTATAACTGCATGTATCGAACGTTTAAATGTACCTTCAGTTATCTTTACTTATTTAATAACCCCAATTAGCAGTGCAGTAATATAATTATCTTATACATCCCCATAGTCTGTAAGTAGCAATCTTGTAATTTCCTGATTTTAAAGTATGCTGGTCACTGTTCTTTCCTGAAGGCCGCCGGTAAATTCAGCTGTTATCTTAAGATTGACTGTTATTGGGAAACCTGTCATTGCAAGAGACAAGTTTATCTTTTTTCTGCTCAATACAAATCTGAGTCGCGCTCTTGTTTTATTGCTCGGTAGATAACATTTGCGAAGACTGCGTTGCTCATTATCTAAAATGGATGTGATAAATTGCCTAATTTGAAAACTCTTCATTTAATGTGATACCAAAAAAAAAAAAAAAAAAAAGTTTCGGATAACAGTTTGCAAGGGAATATTTAAAAGTCATTAACCTTTTCGAATTTGTACATGTTCGTATTTGTCGAGCAAAATATCTTGACCTATGGACACATTTAAGAGTCGTAAAAAGATCTGTGGCCACTAAATATTATAGCACACAATTTTTTTGTCATTATAATTTTGTTTAATAGAAATTATGTTATAAAATTCATTCATTAGAAATTTGTCATTGAATTTTTGTGGTTTATAAACTGCAGTCCAGATGCCTGATCCATAACCACAAAACGATGCAATGAACATCAGTTAAACATTGTTCCTGGCTGTTACAGATATTTAATGGGAATTCACAGGGGTGTAAACAAACTGATGAACACTACTTTAATAGATAAAAGAACATATTTTAATAGATATTATTCTATTATTACTATAGATACTAATATTATTCTATTTTAATAGATAAAAGAACAACATAGTAGACGTATTTGTATTACAGTGCGTATTAGAATGTGAAATAAGAACTTTTGAACGCAGTAAGTATTCAGGGATATTTAATCAGGGTTCGTTTTAATCACAAATATTTAAAATAACTGTTCAATTGAACAACCAGCAACTGCAAGACACCCATCACACAGATGACTGATTTTGTTTGAGATATGCGAAGATATCGTCGCCAAAATTAGCATAACTAGAGCAGAAGTACGTGACTTGCTAGGCATCTTCCAAAGCTTATGCTAATTACTTAGTTGTGTGATGCCGTTGTATTGCAGTTAACGGTCGTTCATTTGAACAGCTGTTGTAAATATTAAACACGGTTCCTTGTAAATATCCATTATTAAAATGACTTATCTTTTCCCATGTTCGTCGTACATACCGGGTTTCCGCGTTTCAGCTCCAGATCTTTGATTTTTCCGAGGTGGGTTAAAAATATAAAACTGTTCTCCTCGCCCGTCCTCCTTTAACTTTCTCTAACAAGTTGCAATTTGTTTAATAAACCGAAAATAGGTAAGATTTGAGATAAAATGTAAATTTCATTTTAAACTAAGAAATTCTGTATGGGCCAATTTTTGTTATAAAATAAAGATACATACCAACAGTTACGTAATTAAAAACCCGAGCGACCCTTTCTAGGGTGGGCACTCTCCTTTGAGCTCGCCTTCGGATTCAAGCATGAGTGCTTCTAATCATCCAATCTTCTACATCTTTCTTTTTTCCGTTCTAGGAAGATCGGCCACCTCCCAAAGCTTCTCACCGCTCCGTGTTCATCACATATAGGATATATATATGCCTTCGTGGAAGACGTTTTTTACAGGAAACTGGCTCGTATTCGCATATCTGAGAAAACCCGCGAAAACCAACCATGTAGCCTGCCGGTTCATCTGGGTTTAAACCCAGTATTCATCGGTTTTAACCACTCGGCTACTGGTGAGGATGAATAGGATTTCCTTTAATTTTTTACAATTTCGGTCGGACCTTTCCTTAATGCGACGGAACGCGAAAGAATAATATCTTCCTTTTGAATTTATGTATTTACTCTATTGATTTTTCGAAGAATATTAGCCCAAATTTTCGGATGATAACACATTCAAAATTTTTCACAGCATGTAGCAGATGTCCTGCCTCATAATTTGATTCCGCATTATGAGAAATATCCTTAATTTCTTTCAAGGATTTTGCTACCTCCGATAAATTCACTAGAAGGACTTATTTTGCCAACCATCTCATCTGGCTGCTTCCTTTTAAATTGGATTTTTTACATTTTTTCATAATATCCCACCCATTAGTGGATCCGACAAAAAAGCAAGACACTTTCTGGATACTTCCAAATAGGTTAACTGCTTCCAAGCACATTGAGGCAGAACGCACATCGACTAGATTCAAGGAGTGAGTTAAACATGGCACAAATTCGGCCAGTTCATTCATATCTCTATTCCTTTCTTGTACTACATTATAAGTATCGGTTATATAGATCCGTTATCGTAAGACTGAATACGAAATTGTCTAATATCCAAACCATATGTTGTCAATTTTTCCATAGTCCGTTGAGAAATACACGTTCCTGTCTTTCCACCAATTTCAATGAAATCAATAAAATTTCCCTTTATCACGCGCATCACCACATTTTTTTACATACCGAATCACCTAGCTTATTTGTTCTGAGATACATCTAGAGTGTAATCGAACAATAATTATGTAGTATTTGGCTTCTTTGATATCGTTTAAAATCTTATTTCGAACTGTTTTCGTTATTATATCAATAATTTCATTTTGAATTTATCAAAGCTACTTCATTGAATTGTCTTTTTTTTAGGTGCTCTTACTGGTACTTAAGAGTTGAATTATAATTGGCTAGCATAGACAAAAAAATTAAAACATTTCCTTGGTTTGTCTGAAGACACTTTGTGAACAGGCTACTAGAGGTTTTATCAGGCCCTTGGAAAGACAGTTTGTTGAAAGATACAAAAGGCTGCTAACGGTTTTATCAGGCCGTTGGAAAGAAAGTTTGTTGAAAGATACAATACCGTATTGATGACTATATAGGACCTCTCTCCATTTTTCTTTCTCTGCGTGAATTAGTCGCTTACTGTCGTGACCAATACCTTGACACAATTTCATTTGCTGCATTCGGATTTTCCACTTAATCATGCTCTCTTTGTGGATTTCAGATGCTTCGTGCTCAGTTAATCTTGCTGAAGCTTTTTTCAAATTTATGAATTTTGTAGTACACAATGCTGATGTAACGGCAGCGGCGTGTTTCTGGTAATTTTCTACATAAAACTTCACTTTTTGTTTTAGGACATATAAGCCGAGATTTTTTAATATTTTTATTATTAGTCTATGCCCTGTACCACAGAGAAGATGTTAAATTTCTTCCATCACGTTCAATAGAATTAAGGTCTACGTTTTCCAGCTAATAATACAGCTTGACTGCTTAAAAATCGTTGCTGATCGTTTTTTTTTTTTTTTTTTTTTTTTTTTTTTTGTTTTTGTTTTGTTTTGTTTTTTTGTGAGTAGCCAACTGCATTGGTCTGACAAACCAAAAGTTTTTAAGTCTTCCTCTTTTTGCTGTCTACTCCACCTGAATGAGGAGACTTTTATATCCTGGCTTCATGTCCTCCAGCTATTCGTTTGAGGTGGATGAAGAAGGTTGTTCTCTAAAATGCTGATTTGTAGACTGTTTGGGATTGATAGATGAAGATCTTGGTCATGCAGATTGCAGGAAATATCAACACCCTCTAGAATCTGAGCATTATCGGAAGTTGCGACAGGTTCTGACGCTTTAAGTCTTCCGTGAAGCCATTTTTTGCATCTTAGCTGTAATTTATTTTTCCTCTTCGGCCCTATCTTTGTCTCTTTTTCTACATTCCGCTTCCAAGAGCTTTGTTCTAGGTGCACTCATATTTTATTTTACCGTAAATGAAATACATTATGACTTGCTTTTATATAAGAATAAGTAAAGACTGACGTAAATACACTCAGCAGTCCTTAGGGCCGTATCTGCGGACTCGCGCCCTAAATAAATGGTTGCCTCTCGCTTAATATAATGCGGATATATTTAAAAAGCATCTAAAAGCAGGCATATCTAAAAAAAATAGGGGAAAAAGTACAAAAAAGGTGGAAACAAAAAACACATAAAAAAGATAAATCCAGCTCCACTGTTCCGAGTAAAATCAAAGGCGAGCCTAAATTGCCAACTGGTTGCAAAAAATTTAAATGCCTTGCTTCATCTTGAAGGCATAGTCCACGTTGACGGTCTGTTGTATATGCTCAATGTGCATTAATTTGAATTATTTCATTGGTCCAGGATGACTCAAAGTTAATTTTTATTGGGTGCGTAAAATAGTTACATTGATTTTCCGTTTCCCAAGAGACGTTGGCTGTGGAAAAAAGACGACTTCTTCAATAAGCTGCAGTTCTGTTTCTCATTTGAATACCCCCCGCCGAGACAGAAAACAATAGAGGGTCGCCAGGCGTCATCGACAGTATCAGTCTGACTTTTGAAGTCCCTCTATTGTCCTCTGTCTGATCTTATATTTATAGTCGGAATCGGCTG